CTTCATCTCCTGGTTGAGCTCCCTCTTGACCGGGTGAGCGGGCTTCCTGCTGCGTTTGTTTTCCGCGGGTCTGCCTTTCTCCATCTCGGGCATAGTCCCGCTCTGAAGTCCAGACCCTGCTCGGATCAAAGTCTCGCGGGCTCCAGTAGTTGAAGTGCTTGAAGTAGTAGTAGTAGTAGTTGTTGTAGTAGTTGTAGTAGTTGGCGTGTTGGCAGAATAATACAAAGTAGTTTGGCGCGGTCCAGTGCTGGAGCTGTCAGCGGGGCTGCGGCTGTCATGCCCCTCAGCGGCCGCTCGTCCCTCCTCCTCCGCGGGCGGACAGTGCTGTGCGCTCGGCTCCACAGAACATGCTCCGGGCTCAGACTGCGCCGCTCTGCGCTCCCTCCGCCCGCGCGCTCACGACGAGGGAGGGAGGGGAGGGGAGGGAGCGCACTTCCGGACAGACCTTCGAAATACAACCCCCAAGAATCCAGCCTAACCTAAACTCGTGATCATGACTAGGCCTGTGTGAAGGAGGAAAAAATACTCTGCTGACTATAGAGTATAAATGTTACACTTTTAATCCGAGCACCAGGCAAGGCCGCGTTTATTTGTACTGCACAGACACACAAAGTCATTCAAAGTGTTTTTCAGAATAAGAGAAAGACGTCAAAATCACAAATAAATCAAAACATTAACCAGCAGAAAATGAGGTAGAGTACTTCCTGCTCTTATCTATGGTCATGAGCTTCGTGTAAAGACCAAAAGAACAAGATGGGTTTCCTCCACAGGGGGCCGAGCGTTCCTTTAGACAGCGAGGAGCTGGGGACGTCCACACCACAATGTTTTTTGGTTAAAACGTAGAAGTTTTTATTCGTTTTGGCCTTTCGTTCACACAGTCACACAGGACGAGTTCGGAGTAGAGTCACTGCTCCACGCAGAGAGAACATGGAGGGGAGAGCATCTGTCCTGATCCCTCCTGGTGGAGACGAGGCCCCGGGGGAAGATCCAAGACACGCTGGAGGGACTACGTCTCTCAGCTGGCACCTTGGGTCCCGCTTGGAGGAGCTGGATGAAGTGTCTGGGGTGAGGGAAGTCCGGGAAGTCTCCTGCTGCGTCTGTAAGGAGCAGTAAAAAGTCCTTTCAGTCACGAGCAGCTTCAGGACTGTGAGTCTGTAGAGGAAAACGCACAGAAAGCAAGTTTTTTTCTTTCTTTTGGACAATCTGCGTGTTTGTCTCCAGACATTTTAAAGAGAAATCAGGTGGAAAAGCAGAAGTAGGTCAGTTTTTTGTGTTTTAAAGTCCAGAAACCTTCACCAGACTTCAACTCCTGTCGTTTGCAAGAGACTACAAGCTTTTATTGTGAAAGCCCGGTGCTCTCGCTTCCTGTCGCCCCCTCTCCTCTCCTCTCCTCTCCTCTTCTCCTCTTTCCTCTGCTCTCCTCCTCCTCTGTCCCTCTTCTCCTCTTCGTCTCTCCCCCGCGCTGTAACCCCACACCGGCCCCTCCTCCCGGCTGCGCGCGGATCCGTTTCACGAGGAATGCGCGGAGTGTGTTTTATCTGCGGAGGCACAGACCCAGCGCTGAGAGCCTGGAGGAGCCTGGAGGAGCCTGGAGCCGCTGGGAGCCGCTGGGAGCCGCTGGGAGCCGCTGGAGCCGCTGGGAGCCGCTGGGAGCCTCCTCTGGCCCGGGTTCATAATAAGAGACCCGAGCCACCGTCACATGCGCCTCCAAGGACGGGGACTTTTCCAGAGTCTGTCCTGGAAAGTCCGAGTGCAGTGCTTGATATTTATCGTCCAACCGCGTCACTTTTTTAGACAAATTTTAGTTTTTAGATGTTTTTACTGCGCTGGGCTGGGCTTGCATCTCCACAAACCTGCTCGTTTCCTTTCTGTTTCTATGAAAAATGCTCGAAAGGACGGTCTGAATTTTCTATTTCCACAAAGTTAAGGACCGTGTCACGTGATTTACGATCATGTTTATTAGGCTTATTTATCGTTTGCCCCAGTGTCAGAAATTCAACTTGTGCCCAGTTTTAAAATGTGACAAAATCAATTAAAAGAAAATTTGCGGAATATTTGCTCAGTTGAATAAAATCTACTGGATCCACCAAGACTCTTGAGTTTCATCCTAACAGTGTCCATAAAATCAGTTTTTCTCAAATAACTTTAAAAAATAATCCGTTTAGGTCCATGGTGTCAGTGAAAGTTGAATATAAATGTTGCTGTTGTGCATCTTTTGGTACCAGTTTTATATTTCTATCTTCGTAACTTTCTAAGATATGACAATTTTGTGAAGATTGTAACAGTTTTTTTTTTCGTAATGATCCAAAATCCACAAAGGCCAAAGATGAAATGAAAGACATAAAGTTTGTTCTTCCTGTATTTATCATGAACTGTATAAAAAGTGGAGTAAGTGATTGTGACGTCACCAGAGCGTCGCGGTGCTCAGGTACGACTCAGAGTTTGGTAAACACAAGTTTACAGAAAAGATAAGGATGTTATTAAAGTTATTAAAGGAGATTGTGGCCTAAAATGAAAAAACAAAAAAAATCCTATTATTATTTTCTGTACACGTATATTGTTGTTGTTTGTATTTTATGCAGGTTTATTACACTGTGCCTGTGTAATTGGAGGGAAAAAAGACAAGTTAACTGTACATTTCATTGTATATTTTCTGTTAAGGTTCTTAATAAAAATATTTGGAAAAAAAAAAGGAGATTGTGGCCGTACCAGCTCGTCAGACCTCAGAGGCTCAGAAACCGCGCCCGGTCAGGACTTGGATGGAGACACTGGGAGATGCCAGTCACAAAAACTGTCGTTGTGTCTTTAGGCAAGACACTTCACCCACATTGTCTAGTATGAAAGTGGTGTGTGTGTGATGGTGGTCGGAGGGGCTGATGGTGCAGATTGGCAGCCGTGCTTTTGTCAGTCTGCCCCAGGACAGCTGTGGCTACAATAGTAGTTTACCATCACTGGGTTTAGAGCAGGGGTGTCAAACATGCGGCCCGGGGTCTGGATCCGGCCCTGCAAGACCTTTAATCTGGCCCTCGGCTGATTTTCTACTAAAATATTTTAATTATATTATTTATTAAAATCTTGTTAATTTTCTGTGGTGTTTATCACAGCAGCGTCTCCAGCGTCTCTGTACGTGGCCCCTCCCACCAGAGCAGCACAAATGAAGACTTGTCTCTTTCCAAACGCTCTTAAAGGACGATCGTTTTGACTGTTGACCGTGACACCCTCATCAGAAAAATGTCCAACATGAGAAAAGTGGAGCCGAGTACATACAAGTTCATGTTAAGACATTGTGTTGAAATTGTATTTTTCTTGAAGCTTCAGGTTGTTAATATTATAATATTTTGTAAAAGAAAGAGTTCATCAATTACAAAAGATTTCTGTAATAGATTTGTGTTTCTCTGCTCAAATATTTGAACTTATTGTTATTTTTGGGGTTTATATGTCATGAGTTTTCTGATCCGGCCCCTTTTGGATCAAAGTCGGTTGGATATGACCCCCGGACCAAAATGAGTTTGAGACTCCTGTACTAGAGTGAATAAATAAATCTGAATAATGATCTGTAAAGTGTCTTTGTGACATATGTCTGTGAAAAAGCGCTATAGAAATAAAGACTTAAAGACTTACTGAAGAAAAACAGATTTTTCAGTTCAGATTTAAGGTTTCTGCACTAAACTTCAGAGACTTGGTGGACCCAGTAAACATCAATAGAATTTCATGACATTTCTCATGGAAGTTTATTTTGGCAAGTGTAAAAATTGATACTAAGTACAGATTGATTTTCAAAAAATTTTCAAAAAGTTGGACAAATGATGCACACTCATGTTTATATAGAAATGTTGATTGACTTGTGTTCCTTTTGTGCAGGATGATCACTCCTTTCACCCCTTTGCTCCTTCAAAAAACAATAAGTGTTGATGTCTGGGAACCTGGGGCATGGGAGAATCTCAAAACAGTGAACTCTTGAACTCTGTCACCAATGTGCCATAAAAAAAGTACACATAAACATGGTCTGTGCAGTTTCACAGTTTCAAGTTTCCCTAAAACTTCCATTTTGCTTCATTTGACCTGCACTGATAGAGCTAAAATCCATCTCCATAGATAGAAAATTGACAAACAGCCTCAATGTCCTAAAATTTATAGCACCTGTACAAAAGTATAACATTTTAAACTATTTAAATTTTTGTGTATTTTGGCAAAATTTAGAAAAAGTCATCAAATTTGAGGATAAAAGATGTTAAAGGTATTTTTTTTACTGTTGAATGTCAAAATGGGTCAAATTTCACCCAGTATCTAAGGGTTAAAAGAAGACGAAATGTTTGTCCACAAAACTGCAACAATTTTTCAGGTAAGTTTTTCTAGCAGCAGAACTTCAAATAAACCAGAGAGAATAAAATATCAAAATTAAAACAGGCATGATGATGATGTTTTTTGATTGGTGTTATTTGAAATAAACTTTAAACTAAATATTGGAAATAGAGGTCGAAATCTGTTTTTTGTTTTGTTTTTTTTTGACACTAAAACAGAATAATGAAGTGTTATTGTTTTTCATTCTTACTTGTAATTCAAAAAAGCAAATGGCGCACGGACCGACAACTGAACCTGCAGACAGAGACACAGAGAGTGTGTTTACATGCACATCAATAACCCGGTTATGATCGGGTTTTTTGAGTATCCCGGTTCCTTGATGGTGCATGTAAACGCAGTAACCCGGTTATGGCAGTAACCCGGTTATTAGAAACCGGGTTACTGTAGCTAGTTTATTCCGATAATAACCGGGTTACTTGTGGCATGTAAACGCAGTATCCTGATTACTGCAACATAAAGTTGAGTCGCATGCGTCCAAAAGACACTTTCCAGCCTTTCACCACAACAGTAGTGACATAAATAAATTGACCAACATAAATAAAGTGACCAAACGAGTGAAATGACTGTAAAATAAAGAGCTGCACTAAACCTGCACACGAACAATCTGCACTCGTGTGACGCTGAAAAAACTAAAACATAAACTATCTCCTATACAACACACGCACGGAACACACTTACCTATTATTAGCGCCTCTTTCTGTCACAGAAATAACAACATAATCCACAGAGTCGTGTCATTTAGTCCAAAAGAAGCTGATCACATCAGCGGCGCAAGGAGCGAGTTGTTTTTATCGCCGCTAACAGTTTATGCTAATTAGCCAAACGGTCTTAAGTTTCGTTTCTGTAAAACGTAAACAAATGTGATCACAGCTGAATGATCTGATCAAACGGGCTGATGTGTCTATAGTGTTTATGGTTTATATGTTGTAAAGTTGAGTTTATTTATGCAGAAGATTTTAATGAAGAAT